TTCTGATTGTTTCCTTCCCTTTGCTCTCTCTTCTAAACTTGACAATTTTTCTTCATATGGCCTTCTTTGCCACGATGGTGGCATGCACTCTACTCTAGGCCCTCTACTCTTGCTTCTTCTGCGATTCTCTATGACAAATACTTGGCTACTATCTATGCTAGAAGTCTCTTTCCTTGTTTCTTCATTAAGCATGTTATTTTTAACATTATCAAGAGTAAGAACACCATTAGGAGCAGAGTTACTTACACTCACCACAAAGGTCTCCCAACTGTCTAGCAAGGATCCAAGTAACAAGAGTGCTTGCAACTCATCCTCAATCGTCATGTTCATAGTAGCCAACTAGTTGATGATATTCTGGAAATTGTTCAAGTGTTCTGCTGCACTTAAACCATCCTTGTACTTCACATTGATGAGCTCTTTGATCAAGAAAGCTTTCTTGGCTGAGGTCTTCTTCTTGAACAAGGACTTAAGCTTCGTCCACCCATTGTCTAATCGTGCCAATTGCCTTGTGATTTATCTTCTTCCACTCGGCATCGAACATGCTCTCAGGCTTAGCGGCATCTCCTTCAATTGGCTCATTTAGATCCTTGTAATAGAGAATGTCCTCTATCCTTGGCTTCCATGTTACCCAATTGGAGTAGTTAAGATTGATCATAGTGCCACTTCATTCCATCTCGTAGTACGAGCCTACCGGGCTCTGATACCACTTGTTAGGAATGTCGATACTACAAGATAGAGAATGCTCAAAGTAAAGTAGAAAATGGACACCAAGAATTTATGTGGTTCGGCAATTCATGCCTATATCCATGAAACAAGGATCAATCTTCACTATATGAAAAAGATGAGTACAACAAGAGTAGTCTTACCAAGCCAAAGACAAGGCTTGATGGATACAAGCAAGTATAACACACACTTTATATCTCTCTAAACTTCGCTCACACAATGTGTAGTGGAACACTCTCACTCTCGCTCTTGGAGTGGAACTCTAGCTTTGGACTTGATCATTTTCTACTAGTTTCTAGCTTCTATTATATTCTACAAATCTCTAGCTTAGAAAATTCAAGACTAACCATCCTACTTTGCATGCTAGAATTTTCTAGAATATGTATGCACCACCAAACTTAAACTTTTCTAGAAGTATCTAGCACATGCATGCTCTTTCATGGGAACCGACTTAACGCATGCTAGGATTGTCTAGCATGCTCTAGTCTCCTCGCTTGCTTTCTAGAATAATCTAGAACATTCATCATGGGCTGGACCATATACCAACAGCAGGTACCTCATTTTACTATTGCAAAAACGTGATAGGTATAAGACGTCATATAAATTTCACTGTCCTATATGTCTTATAAATTTCACCGTGTTTCTTATTTTTTGCTCCAAATACAAGAGTTCTATAGAGTCACCATGATTCTTACGGGGCCTATCATTTTGTTTATGGTACATTAAACAGACTCTCTGCTAAGAAATGGATCATATAAAAAATACTGTTTCCGAATATAAAATCTAACATTGTACAAACTCATCTTATTTATAGAACAGATTGACAGTTTGTAACGTAACAAATAATAAAATATTGTTTCCGAATATAACAGGAGATGACGAATCTATTTATATGTGCAGAATGTGTTGGGACGATCAAGCAAAATCTTGTATGCCATTGCACTATTAGCCTCAGGCCAAAGCTCCACGATTACAGGCACTTACGCAGGACAATTTGTCATGCAGGTTAAATTTAAATTTAAATTGTTCTTCATTTATTATGAGTACTTAAACATAAAATTACAAACTTGAGCGTATGTAAGTTGGCTATAACAGTGTGCTCTCCCCACTACTTTTAAGTTTGAATTTCCTTTCCCGTGGTTAGAGAGTAAACTATAATATTTAAAATTGATGGTGATTTGCAGGGTTTCTTGAACATTAAGATGAAAAAATGGGCTAGAAACTTAATGACGAGGTGCATTGCCATTACACCAAGCCTCATTGTTTCCATTATCGGCGGATCTTCAGGAGCAGGAAGGCTCATTATCATTGCATCGGTTTGTAATTAACTGGATAATTATATTTAATTTTCTTCTCAATCCATATACCAAAAAAATAATTAATTAGAGAGCAAATTTTAAATGCATTTTGCAGATGATACTATCTTTTGAGCTCCCATTTGCTTTAATTCCACTCCTCAAATTCAGCAGTAGTGCCACCAAAATGGGACCTCACAAGAATTCAATCTATGTGAGTGGTATTTTCAGCTCTCTTTGCTTTGCTTCATCTAAATTAGTTAACTGTGGAACCCTTGGAATTAACTAGCTACTAAGTAATATTCGACCAGACAGAAAAAGCTTAGGTTGTTAAGAACTTCAAAGTGACAAGTGAGAGATGAAGCTTGGAGGCTTGGACACAAAAGTCTAGTACTATATTATTATTATGGGTCCGTTTGGACGTTATTGTGAGAAGATTCTCACATAAGTGATTATGGCCACTTCCAAACGAGCCTTGTAGAGTAACTAAACCTCGAAAAGTGACTCGTAGATAATACATCCGTAATGTATATCAAACTAACCCGCTAGTAGCTAGTATTGATTGAAACTAACAACGTTGGCACTTTTTGTATGCAGATCATTGTGACATCATGGATTCTAGGAATGGGAATCATAGGCATCAACATCTACTACCTCAGCACAGGATTTGTAGGGTGGATAATCCACAGCAGTCTACCCAAAGTTGCAACTGTGTTCATTGGGATCTTGGTGTTCCCTTTCATGGCCATTTACATCCTTGCAGTCCTTTACCTAACCCTAAGAAAAGACAGTGTGGTAACTTTTGTTGAGCCCACAAAGAACGACCCGGCAGCCCAAAACCAAATGGAAAATGGGCTTCCCAACTATGGTGAGCCCCCAGTGCCTTTCAGAGAGGATTTGGCTGACATACCTTTACCTCAATAGAGGACGTATATATTTTCATATGCATATTCTTCCCACTTTGCATTACTAGTGTTAGTCGAACCTAATACCCGTTGAACTTTGTACCGGTTCAAGACCTTCGAGGAAAAGAGACGAGCCGTGTTAGTCAAACTTAATACCTGCTGAATCTTTGTACCGTTTCGAGACCTTGAGAGGAAAGGGACCAGCGCTGCACTTAAGAATTAAGAATGTAATGGTTTTTTATGAACTAGAAGATAGAATCTCTTTAACGAATAGTAGGACTCTTATGTTGTCTGTGTCACTCCGATAATGTCCCCAATAGGACTATGTGGTGTTCATCATATTGAATAATAAATTATCTAAGGGAAGAATAATCATTTGGTGTATCATGAATCTCTGTTGCAAAGTTGTTCATTTAGATCATAATGTATTTCCTACTGATCATCTGCAAATTACATCCTCACATTTGAGTCATCTATGATCTGCTATTCAGTACTACGGTCTGATAGTATTCCTCTTCACTTATAAGTGATAGATCTTAAGTTCAAATCTCATGAATGGCGAATTCGATATCAAATTAGGTTGCCCATTGTGTGGCTTAGCCAAATTCCCTTATCCCTTAGTGTAAAATATATCATTGAACTCAAAAAACAAAAAAAAACAAAAAAAAAAAAAAAAAGGTCATCTATGATCTGCCTAGTCATTTGAGTAAACATTGTTCAAGCGTTTTTACGTTGAGACCAAAAAAGACGACATAATTGTGAAAATGGTAATGCTTTTCATTGATCATAGTACAGGGAGATCATATTTAACAAGGATTCTGAAACAATCTATATACTATTTTTTAGTTGTTAACCTAAAATACACCATTTGACTAATTTAAACATAATTACATAATCAATTACAACAATCAAGGAAAACATATCTTGACAAAATCAAAGGCAAATCATATCTCAACACGCCTCCTCAAGTTGGTGAGTGGATATTGTACCCTCCTAACTTGCCAAGCAAAGTTTCAAAGTAGCATTTCCTAATGGCTTTGTGGACAAGCCAACCAAGTTCGAACTTGTCGGTGTGTGCACATCGAAAACTAAACCTGATGTGAGATGTTGTCGTACTAGATGGCAATATAGCTCTATGTGCTTCATTTGCTCTTGAAAAACAGGATTCTTGGAAATTTGTAAAGTAGATTGGTTGTCACAATGTAAAGTTGCTGCCTTCGGATGTTCAACATGTAACTCCTTGAGTATGTACCAAAGCCATATGAGTTCATAACACACATCTGCCATGGCTCAGTACTCCACTTCAACGGAGGAATGTGCAACGGTACTTTGTTTCTTTGTTTTCCAAGAAATCAATGCATTCCCAAGAAATGTACAATAGCTTGTAACTGATCGTTTGGTGATAAGGCAAGTTGCCCAATCTGAGTCACAAAATGCCTTAAAGAACAAACCTTGACCCAGTGATCCTTTAATATAAAGCAAGACCCTTATTGCGGCCTCTAGATATGGCTGATGCGCCTCGTGTATAAAGTGGCTCAAGATGTGAACGGCAAAATTAATGTCTAGCCTGGTCATTATCAGATATATAAGTCATCCCACCAAACAACTGTATCTAGTAGGGTCATGGAAAGGAATTCCTCCATGGGGAACGTTGAGGGTCGAGCACCTAGTAAACCCTCATCATCAATGACCTCGAGGGCATATTTGCGTTGCGAGACAAATATCCCTTTCTATGATCTTGCCACCTCTATACCCCTAGAAATATTTCAGAAGTCCCAAATCCTTAATGCAAAAATGACGACGGAAATAGTCTTTCACCATTTCAATTACTTGAGAATTATCCCTTATAATAACGATATCATCAACATAAACTAATACAATAGTAAGAATTATTTTGGGACCAAGTAAAAATTTGCACTAGTACAAAAAACAGTTTGCGCGAAGCATGTACCTTCATCGGGCAAAGTCAAAAAACACGCGCCAACCTTCGTGCAAAGGCAATGAAAGCAGGGTTTTAGCAAAAATATTTTTTTTTAATTTTTATAAATATTGCAATTAAATTATAAACAATAATTAATAAACCAAGAAAAAATATTTAATTATAAAATATATAAAAATGTACATACAAGATGCCTGAACATAAAAGAAAAAACTATAAGTAGTCTTCTAGGTTTGATACATCAGGCTACTGGGTATCGGCTAGGCAAAGTGGTTGGGAGGTCGAAAGTGGAGCAAGATCAAGTGCTAGTATCGGGATTTGGAGGCCGAACATCTGTAAGGCCCGTAAGTTCATACTCATCTTCTCGTCTTGGGCCGCAAGCTAACCTTTTAAGGTTGCCACTTCCTCCATCAGGGCGATAACCTATCCTGTGGTCAATCTAGAAGAGGAGGCACCTGTGGTCAATCTGGAAGAGGAGGCACCCATCTCACGAACCCAGGCCTTCCCATACACCGAACAACCTTGCCATGACGACGGCTAAAGCAATAGGTGCTGATAATGCGGAGGCGCATTGGTCACACTTCGACGACGAGTGATCAACTGCGACATCTGTACACTTTTTAAACCATAAAAATATAACATTAGAAACTAATTCTTTCTTGCATTTGAAACTAATCAATTAGCAGCCAAAGTAATATCATATCCTTTCTTGCATTTGTTCACATATACATAAAGCAGTATTGCAAAAGGTAGAAACAATACTAATTCCAAAGTAGTATTGTTTCTACCTTCGATGCACATAAAAGTAAGAAAAGTTATTGGCATGAAAAGTAATTACATTTGAATGCAGTAGCACCATCCTAAAATTCCTTCATAAAAACCATTTGCAATGCATGGCTTTAAACATCAATATCTCTCAACCACATATATCTACACCTACATGTCAAACCCTCTTAAGCACCCCCCTTGATAGTTGAAGAAATGTTCAGGAATCAGTCGTTGTTCACTAGTAATGTTTGAAGCAAGAAACATGAGAAAGCAAAGCACTAGCAATTTGGAAGGAAATACAACTCAGAGAAGACCAAGTAATAATAAATTAGAGTAATTGAAAACATGAGAGGACTCCAAGACGTACCAAACTTTTGGATGGGAAAGTATTACTTTGCAAGACAAATATCCTTGTGGTAAAGCACACCCTCTTTGTTCTAAATATGAGCTGCCACAACAATGCTCTCCTAAGGTCCTTTTTCTGAAGACCTGTAAGGACCTCTTTTATATGAGTCATAGGATTAATCTTACGGTAAAAAAAATTTTGAGTTTATATAAACCTATTACACCTAAACAAAATCAAAACATGCTAAAAGGCTTCACGCTTATCCTTCATTCCTGCTTCGCGAGAGAGGAGCAAAATTGCAACCCGTTCAATCTCAGAGGAAATCTTTTGTTAAGGACGTCGTCCCAACCCTCCCTCTCTATTGCTATGCTCCCACACTTGAAGATCATCGCTACCAGTTCGAGATTGTCCTTAGGAAGCTTGTTCTTCTATCATACAACAATCTGCAATTAAAATTAAAAGTGAAGCAAAAAAAAAAAGGAAGAACGGAGAAAAGGTTGAACCATCACCACAAAGGAATATAAAAAAGAATGGTGCTATTAGGAGAGCATTAGATGAAACCCAATTAAAAGAAGAATGGTTCTCTCGATTAAATTACAGTTTCCATTCTACTTTTTTTTCAACAGCAAGGAGGGAGAAATTGGGAGAAATTGAAATCAATACAACCACAAAGGAAATAGCTTTTCATAGCTTCGAAGAAAATTTTAATTTTCCGAGGGCACTATGAAATCGGGTCTCGTTGCTCTCCTTCAGCGTCGAAAATTTGAGCGTGAACCTTATTTTTTTTTTTTTTTTGGTGTTTTGATTTTGTTTTAGTGTAACAAGATTATATAAACTAAATAGTGTTTCTACCATTAGATTAATCCTATGACTAATATAAAAGAGGTCCTTACAGGTCCTCAAAAAGAGGACCTTAGGAGAGCACTGTTGTGAGCTGCCATGTGACAAAACATAAGAAATGAGCCATTTCTCACTTAGACTCCAATAGGTTGCAGAGAAGATATAAGAAACAAGGGCAATATCCAGATTAAGGGAACAAAGGCAATACCAAAGTTCATTACATTTAATAGTTCTCAAAGCAAATTGAAAGCTTAAGTACATGGAAGATAAGGTTGGCTTGTAGCTACCATTTGAAATAAACAAGCCACCATTTGAAATAAAAGCAGTAATTCAATGATTAAATTGATTGACATCATGATAATATCATCAAGTTCATAGCTAGCCAGCTAAGGTAGAGAGACAGTTCGAAAGGATAAGAGGTCGTCATAGTTGGCAATTGGCACATGATTTATATATTGGAAATCTGCCTAAATCCAATTATTAATCCTAAAAGTGGATCTTACGACATAAGCGCATTGCAAATACGAGACCAAACCCCTCCTCTGATAACTCTCAAGCAAGCATGTAGCTAAAGAAAGATAAACAGATTATGCATGCAGCAAATAGCTATTTCAATTATGTTTCTAATTTTTAAATTCTCATACCAGGAATTTGAAATGCTATTTGAAGATTTTGGAGGGTTTGATGGGCTGTACATGAAAATGCTTGCCTGTGGTATTCCAACTGATGTTCACCTGATGTGGATTCCCCTTTCTGAGTTGGATATCCGTCAACAATTTCTCTTGCCCATAAAGCTGTCTCATCAATTGTTTAATGCGTTGTGGAAGACTAGAGCAGTATCATATACAAGAGATTGGGTTCTTCAGAAGTTCAAAAATATAAATGACGGACATAATGATGACAATAGTATGTGCTGGATTATAAAGGGAAAGAATCTCCATACCTTGAATCTGTGATCCCCACCAATTATTTTAATGCTAAGAATATGCTTGTCATGGTCAAGAAGTTCCAATCTCTCAGTACTTGTTGTGGCAGGAAGCCCAGACTTAACATCAACTTCTCTGAACTTCAATCTCAAGATTTCCCTGCACCACAAACCTGCTGACAAATGGCTTATACTTTTGCGGTTGATCAAATCGTCTTACCACCGACCAAACCTGAAAAGAAACAAAACAATTCACATTCCGAAAAAGGGATAACCAAAAAACATATTTATACTAATACAGTAGTTTCATGTCAACCATCCAGAGATGCAGCGTTGCACTCAATATTTATTGGCAAACTATCGTTGCAGTTATCCTGCCCATTCTCAATGAGGATCTCTCTCAAATACACCTTAATCTTCCAGTTTCCTGGAAACAAGGTATTAGAAAACAATCGAACATTAAGCAAGAAAAGCAGTAATTACATCTCTGAGCCACCGAAATCGAATCCCGGTAACCCCAGTTTCACAAACTGATACCTCAACTCCTATATCAAACTCCAAATCCAATTGTAGCATAAACACCCACCTACCTATATGTTACATGCATGATATTTACATCTCCAATATACAAATCCCAGATCAAACAAATCAAAACAAATCAAATAAATAAAAAATCCTAAAGCTTCATAGATAGACTGCTCGTATTTACGGAGGAATCACGCTGAAATATATGCTCCTAATTCCTAACCCTAAAAATCGATTTAACACTAAAACCCCCAATTGCTAATTTAATTTTCCAGGTGACCTTCGAGAGAGCATACTAAATCAAAATAGGTGCCCATAGTGCATTCACTTTGTCTCTTAGACTTTTCATAAACCAAGAGAAATAAGATTGAAACAGTTGGTAGTACTATCCATCTGACCCCCACATTCTCAATTGCCTTGGCAACATGATCGAACTCCACATTTTGAAATTGGGAAAGCTCATTCCATTTGTATTTATAATTTGGGGTTGGCTTCCAGGGAATAGCAAAGGCAATTGGTGGTATACTTGTAGCATATTGGTGAAAAGTAGCAGAGATTCCTCGAAATTTACTTACCAAAAGCTCAACAATAATTGTGCAACCAGAGGGATTCCAAATATAATTAGTGTTCTCAACTATAGAGGTCTCTCCAGTGAGATATTTCCATTTTGCCTTCACTACCTTTATCAGACATTTTCTCAAACAGTTCCAATGCATAAAAATCTTTCTTCACAAATTTTCCCACAACATACCAATTAACCCATCCACATTTATCAGTCAAGAAATCTTCATACATGATCACAATAACACCAGTATAATATGCTGGAATAAACTGCAAAATCCAATACCATTTGTCCTTCGGATTTGTAAAATTGGAAAGCAAGGATGTCAATACCTATGTCGACGCTTCGTGGTGTTCGATCCGTTGCGGACACAGAATTCGCGGTGGGCTGCCTTCCTCGTCGTGGATCCCAAAACATAGAAGCGGATTGTGATCAACATCTAGCGATTCAACGCCATCCGACAACAACGGGGCTGGAAGTGAGTCGCCCGTAGCATTGATAGCAGGCATCGGGGTTGGAGTAAAACCCAGACCCTGCACACTTGTTGGAGCTTCCTGGTTGCTCAAAAATGGTATTGTTGGAGTGGGCTGCCAGTGAAGCGTTCGAGTTCGACTGTGGCTTGATAGGAGAATTTGCTATTGCTCGCAATAACGGCGATGGCGAGAGCAACGGCGGAACGGAACCGATGGGTGTTACCGAGGAGATTCGCGATGGGCTGTCGTCTCTGTTGGGTTGTCCGACTCTTGGAATTGTTTTGTGACCGGGATCGATTGATGCAGCGTCATCGGAAATCATCGGGGCCGGATCAGAAACTCCCCCGTCGCTGATAGCGAACATAGGGGTTGAAGTGGAGTCTCCCATAGCGCTGAGAGCCAATTCACGGCGAAGTAAAGCAAATTCACGGCGGACCTTAGCAATGAAGGGTGCGAATACAGCATCTAATAAAACTCATTTAGTAGAAAAAGATAAAACTTACTTTGTTGAATTGTTGAGATATATTTGTCCTTTCTGTTTTGATTGTTATAGTTTGTTGTCCCTTCTCTTTTGGCTGTTATAATTTGTTAAGAGTGTGAAGTCCACACATGTGTAGAGGTAAAAGCTTGTATATAAATACTCTTGTAATCTTATCATTTGAGTTAATGAAAATTACATTTCTTTTATGGTATCTTTCGTCTTTGTCTACCGACTTACCCGATCCTAATCTTTGCTTCTTTCCTCTGTGATTTCTCTCTCAAACACTAATTCGCCAATCACGGCGACCTCTAATTCTCCCTCAGATTCTTCCTCGCTGCTTCATCATCCTGCTTCATCAGCTGCAATTTGATCATGAAGTTGTGCATTGTCCACAACATTTGAATCCATCCTATGGCAACAAGTTCATTCCTGCTGCAATGTGTGTTAACACCTCCTCTATTCCACAGTCTTGGATTCTTGACTCTGGCTCCACATCTCACATGACCAACTCTCTGGCACAATTACAAAATCCAAAAGCATATCATGGACCTGAATAAGTCTATATTAGAGATAGCAAAGGTTTGCCAATTCTACACTCTGGTTCCTCTAGAGTTTATGTTCTCAATCATAATTTTGCTCTAAAGCATATTCTTCATGTGCCTGATTTACAAGAAAATTTGCTATCTGCGAATCAGTTCATACTTGATTATTCATGTTCCATTCATCTATATCTGTTTCACTTTACTGTGAAGGATCTTTCTTCGGAGATGATGCTTTTTAAAGGTCCAGTAAGAAATGGGTTTTATCCCTTTCATGCCTCTCCCTCTACTGGCAATCATCTGTTTGCTGCAGCAAATAAAGTCTCTCATAAAGTTTGGCATCAAAGGCTGGGGTGGGTCATCCTTCATTCAAAATTCAAAATAAAGTCTCTCAATCTTGTAATTTTGTTGCTTCTAGTACAAATAAGTGTTTTTGTTCAAACTGTGCTTTAGGGAAATGTTCTAAGCTTTCCTTTGTATCCTCTCATAGCACTACATGTAAACCACTAGAACTTTTACATACTGATGTTTGGGGGCCAACATCAGTATCTTCTGTAAGTGGCTATAGGTACTATGTCATCTTTGTTGATGACTATACCAAGTATACTTGGTTCTATCTTATCAAATACAAGTCTGAGGTGTTTTCAACATTTGTCAAGTTCAAGAATCTTGTTGAAAATATGTTGAGTTCAAGAATTATAGCTCTTAGATCAGATTCTGGAGGAGAATTCCTAAATTCTGCATTTTCTCAGTATTTACACATTCATGGAATTCAACATCAGTTAAGTTGTCTACACACACCTAAGCAAAATGGGTGTGCTGAGGGTAAACATAGACATTTAGTAGAAACAGCAAGAACACTTCTTGCAGCCTCTAGTGTCCCTCATATATATTGGGTTGAGGCTTTTTCAACAACCATTTATCTCATAAATAGGCTTCCAACAGTCTCCACATGTTCACCATGGGAATCTCTTTACAAGAAAGCTCCAAATTATACAACTCTTAGGGTATTTGGTTGTAGTTGTTTCTCCTGGCTCAAACCCTACACAACTTCAAAACGGGATCCAAAGAGTACAGCTTGTATTTTCTTGGGTTATAGTATCTGTCATAAGGGCTATCGATGTCTTGATATTAAAACTGGGAGAGTGTACAATTCCAGGCATGTTCTTTTTGATGAGGTTACTATTCCTTTTCATCACCTTGTCAAATCTACATCCAATCATACTACTAAAATTAATAAATCTTCACATCCTATCCCATCAACCTTAACATTTTCTCAACTTAACTTTTTCCAACAACCTCATCCACCTCCTGTCAATCAACCCTTTTTACCTATTCCTCCTCACAACCCTCTTCTTCACCTATTCAACCCTCCTTAGAACTTCAAAATCATACAAATCAATCCTCATTACCCTACACCAATACTCACCCCATGCAAACTAGATCTAAATCTGATATACACAAACCCAAAGCCTACACAACAACTAAACACCCTTTACCTTCCCATATATCTCCAGATTACCTACCTTCTACCCATATTCAAGCCTCGAAACATTCCCATTTGAGGCAAGCCATGCAAGAGGAGGTCAATGCCTTGCTTAATACTAATACCTGGAGTTTAGTACCTGCTACATCTTCTCAAAACCTTGTTGGTTGTAAATGGGTTTTTCGAATAAAAAGAAAGCCTAATGGAAGCATTGACAAGTATAAGGCTAGACTTGTTCCTAAAGGTTTTCATCAACAAGAGGGCTTGGACTATATTGAAACTTTTAGCCATATGGCTAAACTTGTCATAAACATAATTCTACTTACTTTGGATGCTCAATTTGACTGGTTTCTAAACCAATTGGATGTTAATAATGCGTTCCTTCATGGAAAACTTTCTGAAAATGTTTTTTTGCAACAACCACCAGGGTTTGAGGATCTCACCAAGCCTCATCATGTTTGCAAATTACATAAATCTCTTTATGGTTTAAAACAGGCTCCTAAAGTTTGGTATGAGAAGTTACATGGTGCTCTTTCTTCTCTTAGGTTATCTAGTTCTAAAAATGATCATTCTCTATTTCTCAAAAAAGATCCATTGGTTTTTGTTCTTGTTTATGTGGATGATATACTAGTCACAAGGCCATCTTCTGCAACTTGTCAATCTGTGATTTCCCAACTCAGTTCTCTGTTTCCTATTAAGGACTTAGGACCTGCTCATTATTTTCTTGGTCTTGAAGTCAAAAGATCAGCTAATGGTATCCTTGTTTCTCAAACAAAATACAGTCTTGATCTTCTTCAGAAAGAAAAGATGAATGGTGCAAAACCATGCTCCACACCTCTGAGCACTTCTAAACTCGATCACATATCACCTTTTCTGGAAAATCAAACTAAATACAGGTCTTTAGTTGGGGGTTTATAGTATCTTACATGGACTCGACCAGATCTTTCATTTGATGTTAATCTTGTCTATCAGTTTAGGCATAGTTCTCGGCTCTTTCATTTTCAAGCAGTTAAACGTATTCTGAGATATTTGAAGGGTTCTTTGGATATTAGTTTATGGTTTTCTAAACACTCAGTCTTCTTAGCATTACAGCCTTCTCAAATGCAAATTGGGTAGGTTGTTCACTTGATCGACGATCCACTAGTGGCTTTTGCATTTTTCTTGGTCAGACTATTATTAGCTAGAGTGCTAAAAAACAGCCCACAGTAGCAAGATCTTCCACAAAAGCTGAATACAAGTCTTTGGCTACTTTTGATGCAGAAATAACTTGGATTTGCAAACTTCTGGTTGACAATGGTTTGGTTATCCCCTATGCTCCCAAGCTGTGGTGTGATAATATTTCAGCTATCTCATTAGCTAAGAATCTAAGCTTCCATGCTCGCACCAAACATGGTGAGATTGATTATCACTATATAAGGGAAAAGGTCTTCTCCAATGCTATCTCAATACATTTTGTTTGGTCTCAAGATCAAATAGCTGACATCTACACAAAGTCACTACCAAAACCGAGATTTCTTCTTCTCATACACAAACTATCACTTCGAGTTCCTCAGTTCAATTTGAGGGGAGCTAATAAAACTCATTTAGTAGAAAAGGATAAAACTTAGTTTGTTGAATTGTTGAGATATATTTGTCAATCTGTTTTGATTGTTATAGTTAGTTGTCCTTTCTGTTTTGGTTGTTAGAGTTTGTTAGAGTGTGGAGTTCACACATGTGTAGAGGTAAAAGCTTGTATATAAATACTCTTGTAATCTTATCATTTGAGTTAATGAAAATTACATTTTTTTAGCATCCACAGTCTCACGAATCGAAGTCTCGCTCACAGCAACCATGGCAAAAAAAATGAGGTGGGTGGGTGTGCATAAGAGAGAAACTAGGATTCGAGAAGGATGATACCATCGATACCATTGAAACCAGGATTCGAGAAGGATGAGGAGAAGGCTACCTGGGTGCAATCGAGAGGAAGGCTACGTGAGACGAAGCGAGAGAGGGTGAGATGAGCGAGAAGGATGAGGAGGAATGACCCTTTTCCATTTTGTCCAAGTAATTTGGCAATATTCAAAATAAGCGCCTATTTTTTACAATTGGGCCGCCACAATTTTAACAACTTGCGCGACGCAGGTAAGAATTATCATGTCCTGTTATTAGTTTTTATGTGACGACCCCATTGTAGCGTCGTGCTATTACACTTTGTGCAATGATCCATTGTGGCGTCACGCTAGTTATATTTAAAAAAAAATATATATATATATATATATATATATTATAAAATTTGTTAAAAATGTGACTTTACTCCCTTCAAATTCAATTTTTTTTTTTTACATAAAACCCACAATAATATATTGTTCTAACAAAAACCCGATCCGAACTACAATAATAAATTTAAAGCTACTTAATAAATACACATACCTTTCAATTTCTTAAGTTATACTTAATGAAAGTATAAATAAACTTCAAGTGTTAGTGAATTTATGGTTTTGATGGGATACGCATTCTACGAAACTAATTTCAACGATCTAACCGTCAAACATGTTTGTATATGCATACACCAAAAATCGCAAAAAACAAATATTCAGAGATCAAGTAACGGGAAAAAACTTTTCGACGGTTATAAACGAAAAATCACGATTTAATGGTTATTTTAACTCCAATTTTGATAATTTTTTACAGCTACACTCCTTGACCCTATATGAATACAATGAATGAACTCGATCTTCAATTTAAAATATTTACACTAGTGGATACCACAAAATCTTATGTTATACTTAATGAAAGTATAAATGAACTCTTAAATGTTAGTGAATCTATTATTTTGATGGGATACGCATTCTATGAAACTAATTTCAACGATCCAACCGTCAAACATTTTTGCATATGCTTCGAGATCGCATATGCAAAAAATCGCAAAAAAAAAAAAAAACATTCAGAGATCAAGTAATGGGACAAAACTTTTCTACAATTATTAATGAAAAATCATAATTAAACGGTTATTTTAACTTCGATTTTGATAATTTTTTACAGCTACACTCCTTGACCCGATATGAATACAATGAACTAATTTGATCGTCAATTTAAAATATTTAC